GGGGGGGGGGGGGGGGGGGGAATGATTAACATGTTGCTTCATTGTATTGACGAAATCCACACCGGACTAAGGGGAGGGGTTCTAATTCCCTTTATCTAAGCTACATGCCTGGAGGGATATCAGACCCTGCTTTGAACATCACCTGGATCTTTTCCTTTTCAATAAAGAATTCCTTTTGAAATATTCAAGTTTTCCCAAGTTCATTCTTATCACCTGAAGGGGAGAGAATCTGGGCCTTACAGGTGGATTTGGCTTGTTCTCCTGCTACCTTAAACGTCTTGGCTGGCTTCACATTTAACGATGGGGAAACTTGTGATTCCACCGTGAACTTGGGGGCGGCAAGAGCCGCCAAAACTCCACCACCAAATGAAACTCTGAATAATGGATTTACATATCCTGCAAACTTTTGGATAGTGAAGTGGGCAGCACATCGGGGGTTGCCCCAGAGAAGAGGGGGTCAATCGATTACCCAAAGCACCTGAAAAGCAGGACATGAAGCAACGGGTGGAAACTAATCAAGGAGAGAAGCTATTTTAGAACTAAGGAGAAATTTCCTGACAGTGAGAAAATTCATCAGTGGAACAACTTGCCTCCAGAAGTTGCAGATGCTCCAACACTGGAAGTTTTTAAGAAGAGGCTGGACAAGCATATACATTTAATAAATAATTAAAACATGCTCTTGCCAAGCATGTTGTGTGAACTCAACCATCACCTGATCCTTACCCAATATTTTTCGGTCTCCAAATTTCCCCCAGCTCATCACCACCACCTCCATCAGTTTCTACCCCATTCCTACCAAAGCATCACCGCACAATCAGACCTCTCAGTATCTTTGCCATACCTGAAGTCTGGAAGGCTGAGCTGCAGTTTCTTCCGAGCTTTATTTCTGGTGATATAATTGGTGGCGGAACCTCTCTCGTACTTTCGTAGACGGCCAAGGAAAAAGAGAGAGAATGTAGTTAATTATCTCTTGCCTGCAAGTAACTATTCCCTTACTACAGGAGGCTGGATGTGGAGACTTCCAGATGTGCTGCAGCTCCTCGGTTGGCATGTTTGCCCAGCTGGAAAGCGCCAGGCGAAAAGGCTCCCCAAGGATTGATGATCTATGAGATCCTTGGGCGAGAGGGCAAGGAGAGGAGTCACAGAGTAGGCAGTGGTCAGATAAAGAGGCAACCTGAGGCTGAGCGGAAAGCACTTCGGAAGGAGCTCTCTCTTACAGGTAATCAAGGGACCAACCCGGGAGTCTGGAGATGAGGGTCCTGCGTCCGATGCAGAGATGGGGCCAGGACTATCTGGGAGTGGGGTGCTGACTCCAGAGCCTCTGGAATCTGGAAGCAGCGAGGAAGAGGAACAAGGGGAGCCTGTTCCCAGTGTGCATGTGCACAGAGCTGTCAGAAGGCGAGACTCGGGAGTAACACTGGGAGGAGATTGCTCCTCCCTTAAGGTATAAAGAGCAGGCAAAGGTAGAGAAACCTTTGCAGGAAGCAAAACAGTGCCATCGGTTCAGATTCATTCTTGAAGCTCTTCGTAATCCCACTTGGTTTTTTTCTCTAGTTCATTGGACACTTCTGTTATTGGCAGCCCTTCACGGGAAAGAAAGGTGGGTGCTTATCTTCAGGGACTGTTTGAGATTCATTCTCAGCTGGGAATGAAAATAATTCCCAGTGTTGCAATAAAACAAGACTGGTTTTTAAAGTAAGCGTGTTCCTAATTACGGTCTCAGAAGCCTTGGTCGAAGCATAATTCTCAACTAACAACAGTTCATTTAACGACTGTTCAAAATCGCAACATCAGTGGAAAAAAGTGACCGACAACCGTTTTTCACACTTACGACCATTGTAGCATCTCCACGGTCACGTGATCAAAATTCAAATGCTTGGCAACTGACTCATACTTATGACGGTTGCGGTGTACCCAAGGTCACGTGGTCCCCTTCTGACAAGCCAATGGGGAAGCTGGATTCACTTAGCAACCGTCTTAGTAACATTTGCATTGATTCACTTTTGAAGTTCGAAGTTACAACCGCCACCGGGGGAAAAAAGGGACTCCCAACCGCATTTTCATGCATGGGACTACTGCAGCATCCTTGTGACCAAAATCCAGACTCTTGCCCACTGACTCGTTCTTATGACAGTTGGAGCGTCCCTGGGTTGTGTGATTCCTCTTTTGCGACCTTCTGCCCAGCCAAGTCAACGGGGAAGCCAACTTACCTCAACGACCGCCTTTACTCGCTTCAGATCCGCAATGACTCACTTAACAACAGTGACATAAGGTCGTAAAACAGGGCAAAACTCCCAAAACAGGTGTCTCGCTCACCACCACCTTGGAGACCTCCCAAAACTTATGGATCGAGGCCTCGCACGGCGAGAGGCCACTTTCAAAGCCCTGGAGGGAGGCTCTGACTCCCTGGCATTTAAGGGTAGACTGCTCCTGAGCGAGGAGGCTCGACCCTCGGCCCCATCTTCCCCGGAGCATTTTGCTCTGCTTGGACAGGACGTGATCCCGCTGAGCGGAAGACCGCGCAGTACCTTCTTTTTCTCCAGGCCGCCCATCGTGTCCGCCCGGCCGTTTCTCCCCCTCCGACTTCGGCCCACGTGGTGGGGCAGATGCTTCCTGGTCGGCCCGAGCCCCGCCCCTTCCGCCCTCGGGAAGCCCCGCTCCTTCCTCCTGGGAGGGTGTCCACGTTAGTGCCTGAACGGGAATCCGGAGGGGCCGCTATGATCACAGGAGCGGACGGATGTGGACTTCGCGGGATAGGAGGATGCGAGGCGTTTCGTGGTTTGGAGCACGCCGCCAAACTCCGTTCCAGAGGCCTCTGTTTCTGGGCAGGCACTACATTAGACGGCCGGAGAGGGGTCCTCTGGAGAAGGGTCCTCTCTGGGGAGAGCATGATGGGGATTGGCTGTCCGGGATAAAGAGGAGGCGCACGAAGCCGAGTCTCGTCCCCCCCGCGCGTCTCTCTGCTGCCCCCTGCCTGCAGGAGGCTTCAGACTGGCTTCTTAATAGATGGGGAAGGAGCCGCTGGCTTGAATAGAATAGAATAGAATGAAATAAAATTCTATTCAGAGCTGCTGGCTTGCTGGGCTTGGCTTAAGGGCAGGACGGGAGTGTGTAAATAATGATATCGCTCCAGAAAGACCTCGAAGTTTTCATGGAGATACAGAAGGAAGGCAGGAAGGAAGAGAGAGGGGAAGGAGGAGGGGGAGGGGAAGGGAGGAAAGGAAAGGGAGAAAGAAAAGAGAAAGAATAGGAAAAGAGGAAGAAAGGAAAGAAAGGAAGAACCAGAAAGAAAGAAAAGAAGAACCAGAAAGAAAATAAAGAACAAACCAGAAAGAATGAATGAATGAGCTAAAAAGAAAGAATGAACCAGAAAGAAAACAAATGAGAAAGAATAAACAAACCAGAGAAAAAGAAAAAGAAAGGAAGAAAGAAAGAAAGAAAGAACCAGAAGGAAACAAAGAACCAGAAAGATTGAAAGAGAAATCCAAATTGTGCCTCAATTAGTTCAGTATTTATCAGGAAAGCCAACAAACCTTTCTCTATCCCTTCCTGAATTAAGAATATCCGGCAAAGTTCTGATTCGCATCATCCTAAACCACCATTAATTTTAACCATAACCAAGTCATAGTAGTCACAGGTATCACTAAGCCAAAACTATGAATAAAGTACAGTGACCCCCATGCGTAGTGTGCACACTGCTACTATCCGATGGGAACCCTTTTTTCTTTGTACTTTATTATTTTAAGAATGAAAATATTTTAAAAATGGAAACACAAATTCTGTATTCAAACCTGCTTGCCTTGGGCTCATCTGCATTTTTTTCCCTGAGCCGTCATGCAATACATTTTGTTCTAGTGTAGGAACATAAATATTTGGGTTTGGAAACTATTGTTTACAGATAAGTGTGTTGCCCTTGGGGCTTAGAAAACAAGCAGTGGTTTTGTTGTAACACTTCTAAAATGTGTATGAACATCATGATAAATAGCCACTAATTTATCTTTTAATTTTTAATTTATTCGTTTAAAAGACTAACATACATGAGTGAAAAAAATGATGAGATAAAGATTACTTTGTAAAACTGCTCAAGAACAAAATACATTACCCGTGTTTTATTCACAGGTATGTCAGATCCCGTATTTCTGAACTGTAATAATGAAAGCTCATAGCATTTACATTCATAAGTCTGTTTTTGATATTTAAATCAAAACTGGCCTCACAAATGTATCCACAATGAGCTTTCCGACATTAAAGTTAGATTGTGGCTTGATCATGAATCACATTCAGCAGTTATAAGGGACGTCACAAAAACCTTGGTTTAAAAAACAAACCAACCCTATTTTAAAAGTGACTTTGGTTCAGGGATAATTGAGATTCTAGCTTAAAAAAAGGAAACAAAATACCGAATGTGCAGATCGCTCTATTTCTCTAGCTTTTGTTCTTTCCCTGGTGGGAAATCCAACCATCATCGATTTATTATTTCAATGCTCTTATTCGGTCTAGCACAACTCGTCCAACACACTTGTCCACTGCCCCTCGTTCCAGATCACTGCCCTGGGTTTCTCAACTTTCTTTTTTCTTTGAAGCCACATCCTGCACACACACACGCACAAAAAGCTGACTTCAGCAGCTGGGAGGGGAAACCGGAGATCGGAGATCGTATGACAAAGAGTAAACAAGGAGCCCAGGGAAAGAGGCTCTCTCTCTTCAATGCAGCTTCTGGCTCCTTCTGAGAATTCAAAAGAAGACTCCGTAGGAAGGAATCAACGGCCGGTACAATTAAGGTAAGATGCATCAAGGAAGCCCATGGTCAGAATACTGAAGTTTTACCCACCCTGCTGCCCTCCAGGCATGTGGGGCTACAGGAGGAATTTTCCCAGGAAGCATGAAAAGAGCCAGATCTGAGATCTGCATTATCTGTCTGTTTTTAAAAATGCAAATATTCTGTCCCATTGGATTTCCGCCGGACTTATTTCTGGAGAAAAATTGCCTTTCTTGGGTGAGGAAGCAGATTGAAGAGGAAGGAAGAGGCATCTATCTATCTATCTATCTATCTATCTATCTATCTATCTATCTATCTATCTATCTATCTATCCATCCATCCATCTATCCATCTATCTATCTATCCATCCATCTATCCACCTACCTACATACCTACGTATAAATATATAAAAGTGAAAGACCCCTCACGCATCATCAGAAAATCTCCAGAACTGTAAAGCCTACAAACTTGAAATTTGGCACGTATGTTCCTCTTGGTTTCTAGGGGCTCATGAAGAAAGGATTTTTCCAAATGACCATCAGAGCATTTAGAGTATTTCCTATATTATTATTATTAACACGCTCTGATGCTAAGGAGTTCTACTCCCCCTCCCCACCTGAAAAGAAATCTCTTCCAAAGGCAAAACCCAGAGATCAAAACATGATACAGGGTGCCAAAGTCCCCTGGAGTCTCTCGTGTCGCTGCTTTTCCTCCGACTTGGCTAAAGTCCTTTCTCTTTTGTCAGACTTGGAGAGGATGCCGTGATGCCCCGGACCACTCCTTGAGGTGATCAGTAATCTGGCATTCCTGAAGAGAAAGCTGCTTGGGACAGGCCACGCCGTTTTCCTGCCTTGGTCTCCGTCGGGATGGTTTTTCCGTGGCTCCGACTTCCCTTCCTTCTCCTCTTCCATCTCCTGTTTGCGTCAGCCCAGCTGTGCGGTAAGTCTGCTTATTTTTTTTCTTTATGATCAAGATTGTCAGGAAGTGGCTGTGAAAATGGATTGTTTGGGTTCACACCAGAGGTGGTATTCAGCTGGTTCGGACCGGTTCTACAGAGCCGGTAGCGGAAATTTGGAGTAGTTGGGAGAACCGGCCAATCCCACCTCTGATGGCTTCGCCAACCCCATCTCTTCTCCGCCTCCCATCGAGTCCCAGCTGAAAAACGCTTCTGAGTCCATTTTTTTTCAGTGCCTTTTTTTCCCCCCAGTGCCGTTGTAACTTTGAGCGGTCATTAAACAAACTGTCCGTAACTCGAGGATTATCTGCAATTAGTAGGAGCCTTGTTCCCAGTCTCAAATCCTGCTTATTCTCTCCTTCTCTGGCAGAAATCCCTGCAGGAGCCCTTGAGCTCATCCAGACCCTGAATTCGGACCTCCTAAAGGTGGCGGGAGATGGGTCCCAGGAGCCAAACCCCAGCCTCTATTTGGCCCTTCGACTCTCCAGCCAGCACAACCTGGAGAAGGAAAGGGAGTATCTCAACCGACTGACAGACGTCTTTCAGCCTCAAAGCAGTAGGTAGGTGCAGTCGAATCGCAACCCAGACATCCAGAACGGAGCTGGAAAGCAGGTTCTCCAGAACTGGTCCGAACCGGCTGAATCTCACCTCTGGACGAGATGACCTACAAGATCCCTTCCAACTCTGTTAATCTGTCATCTGCTCTCTTGCCTTATCAGCCCTGGGATGCCTTCTGAGCTCAACCGCCGGAAGAAACCTGGGACAGGAGAGCTGGCATTATACCTCCTGGCACAGCGGGCCGCTTGTCAGGACATGGATACCCCAGAGAGGAACCGAATGGTGACCCGGTTGAAGCTTCTCCTGAATAAAGAAATGAAGCAGATTGGTGAGAACGGGTCAGCCAGAATTCTTCCCAATCACAGTCATTTCCCCACCAGGATAAGTGTGTTCATCCGAGACTGTAAAATTAGAAACCACCAACCATGGACTTGGTGCCCCCAACCCTGGCCAAATGCTTTAAGCCGAGGGTCTTCAAACTTGGCCAAGTTCAAGGCTTGTGGACTTCAGCTCCCAGAATTTCTCAGCTGACATGACTGGAGGAGGAATTCTGGGAAGTTGAAGTCCACAAGTCTTAAAGCTGTCAAGTTTGAAGATCCCTGGAATAGATAGATAGAGAAAGAGAGGTAAAATAGAGAGAGAGAGAAAGAGATAGATAGATAGAAAGAATAGAGAAAGGTAGAATAGATAGAGAGAAAGAGAGATAGATAGAATAGATGGATAGACTAGATAAAGAGAGATAGGATAGAGAGAGAAAGAGAGATAGGATAGATAGAATAGATAGAGGTAGAATAGATAGAAAGAGAAAGATAGAATAGATAAAGAGAGGTAGAATAGATAAAAAGAGAGAGATAGAATAGAGAGAATAGATAGATAGAATAGATAGAGGTAGAATAGAGAGAAAGAAAGAGATAGAATAGATAGAGAGATAGCTTCATCAGCTCTGACTGAATGGAAGGAATGGAAGGATTTCATCATTTAGGAAGTGCCTCTCTCTCTCTCTCTCTACACCCAGGTCACAAGGAGAAAGGCCACCCCATCACCAACTATTACCAATACAGTTTGGGGATCCTGGCTTTGTGCATTCACAACAAGAGGACCGATCCCGAAGTGATCTGGAAGCTGCTGTCGGCTGAACACAACGGCAGGTTTTATCACCACCAGACACTCTCCGTAGGTAAGATCAGCCCTGCCCAAAGCTTCCAGGTGGCCAAATTGTCCCTCTGGTCAGCGAGAGGTGGCTTTCCAAAGATCATTCCGAGCTTCGTTTTCATTTCAAGAAGAGGCTGGACTGCCATTTGTCAGAAATGATCATAAGTATCGTGTGACTAGCTTAGGAACCGCAGCCATTCCCTTAGCCACTCTGGCAAGGAAGTTAAAAGTGGGGTAAAATTTACGGTCTCGCTTAGCAACAGAAACGCTGGACTCAGTTGCGGTCGTAAGTCAAAAGTCTATCTGAATGAGCGAGCGTCCTTCTCTGGGGAAGCCATGGCTGGAAAGAAACAAGTTTTCTTCAGGGATACAGACGGTTCGGACCGGTTCAAATGAACCGGTTGTCCCAGCGATGAGTTAGCCCAGCGGTGCGATTCAAAAAGTTTTATGACCGGTTTTACCACCGGGCATGGCTTGGTGGGCGTGCTTTGCATGGGCGCACACACACTTTGCGTGCGCATGTGTGCCTGTCCAATGTACACTTTGCACAGGTGCAGAGGCATTGCAACTATCCTCCTGCAAGCCTGCACTCTCCCTGTCGTTTTAGCTGCCGCGCGGCACTCTTCTGTGCCGCGCAAAGCAGCTGCGCTTCAAAAGGTGAGTATGGGAGCCAGGTCAGGTGGGCGAGCCCAACAGTAGAGCGGGGGTGGGATTGATGGAAGGGCCCCTGGGGCCATCTTGGGATCTCACCCCCCCTTTCTTTTCCTGTCCTCCTTCGCTCCAGACACGGAAGCCATGGCCGGCTTGGTTTTTGTCTGCTTGGAACAAAGCCCTTCATACCCCCACAACCTCCAGGTTGGCGTGCGCAGAGCCATGAAACGAGCGAAAGCAAAGATCCTGGAAGCTCGGACTCCCGACGGGGTTTATGGGAACATCTACAGCAGCCCCCTGGCAGTGCAGGTGAGGAGAAGTGGAGGTAGCTTGGTCCTTGGCGTTGCCTTCCTTGAGGGTAGGCGGGGTTGCTCTTGGGCTGGAGGTCCTTTACTGGCAGTCCTCGACTTACAACAGTTTGCTTAGTGGCTGAAGTGAACAACGGCACCGGAAAAAAGTGACTTATGACCCTTGTTCACACTTACGACCACTGCAGCCTTCTCCAGGGTCACATGCTTTATGACAGCTGAATTTCAAAGCCTTACACTTTACATTTGGATGTTTGTCAGCTAACTCACATTTATGGCGGTTGCAGTGTCTCAGGGTCGATCCCCTTTTGCGACCTTCTGACAGGCAAAGTCGGTGGGGAAGCCAGATTGACCTAGCAACCATGCGACTAATTGAGCAACCTCGTGGATTCGCTTAACAACCGTGGCAAGGGAAGTCGTAAAAATGGGACACAGCTCACTTCACTAATTTCTTGCTTAGCCACATGCATTTTGGGCTCCGTTGGGGTTGTAAGTTGAGGACTGCCTGCCTTCATGATTAATGACATATATGGGTGGCCCAGAGGTGGAGACGCTTGCCCTCCGCTTGGATGGTTTGAGAGTTCAATCCTAGGCAGCGACATATGTTTCTCTATCAAAGCAGAAAGAGGAAATGTTTGCTGTGTACTCCGTGTAGGCGTCAGGAAAGGCATCTGGCCAGTAAATGCTCGGCTCCATTCAGTCTCCCCGACTCTACCTCAAATCAAGGGATTGCAGAATCATACAAAAGAAAAAAAAAAGACATATAAGGGGGCACCGCCGTTAAAGACACCGAGCCTCTCGGCTGGAAATCTGACATCCCGGGTTCAAGACCCGTGCAACGGGATGAGCTCTTGTTCCTGCCCCTGCTTTTGCTCACCCACCTAGCAGTTCAGAAGCATGCAAAAATGCGAGTAGATCAATAGGTACCACTGGGTTGGGAAGATCTCCACGTTCCATGATATAGTCATGCTGGGCACATGACCACAGAAACATCTTTCGGACAACGCTGGTTCCCGTGGCTAAGAAACGGGGATGAACACCACCCCCTAGAGTCGGATACAACTGGACTTTTACTTTAATGACCTATAGAGGGCGCTTTCTTCTCTAATCGGGTGAAGTTCTTCTTCTTCCTCCTCTTCTTCCTCCTCTACTTTCTCCTCTTCTTCCTCTTCTTCCTTTTTCTCCTTCTCCTCCTCCTCCTCCTCCTCCTCCTCCTCCTCCTCCTCCTCCTTCTTCTTCTTCTCCTCCTCTTCGTCCTTCTCCTCTTCTTCTTCTTCTTCTTCTTCTCCTCTTCCACCACCTCCTCCTCCTCTTCTAATCCTGGGTGTTTTCCATCTGCTTGGCAATCTAGTTTTTGAGTGCTGTCGGAATGAGGCAGAACCAACAGGAGTTCTCCAGCGGCATGGCGGCCCTGAGGCAGAGACTGGAACGGGGAGACTTCCAGAACAACGTGATCCGGTCACAGCTGCTGCCTGCCTTGTATTGCAAGAGTTATGTGGACATTGCCAGCATGGCGTGCCAAACTCAGACAGGTAAAGGGAGAAGGAGGGCACGGATGCTGATTTGGGCCGAAGGAGAAAGGGGGTGTCCAATCTTGTCAACTTTCGGCGACTTTTTAAGCAGTGGTGGAATTCAAACGGTGTAACAACTGGTTTGGTGAGCGTGTGCGCTTTGCAAAAGTGCACTGCGTGTGCGCAGGAACCTTGAAAACAGCTCTAAAAATTTACCTTCTACTGCAGCCCCCGGTGAGTAAAACAGCTGAGGCACGGGAATCCGCCCTGCCACACCTATCAGCTGGGCTTCAATTAAGAAATATGGGGAGGGGACAGGTGGGCAGGGCCAATTGATTGCTGGAACAACCGGTTCGCTCAAACCAATCTGTACCGGCTGAATCTCACCCCTGCTTTGAAGACTTGTGGACTTCAACTCCCAGAATTCCCCAGCCAGCATTGCTGGCTGGGGTATTCTGGGAGTTGAAGTCCACCCATCTTAAAACGCCTACAGTTCGGACACCCTGCTCTAAACCTTAGGATTTCTCAGGAAATAATTTCTGATTCTCCTTTTTTTATCCCTTCACAGACAGTTTCATCCCGGATCTTTCCCTGTCGAAACCTCTGGGGATCGATCTGACACGGAATATCTCTATCCGGCTAGAAGTCAGGAACGCCTTTCAGTTACTGTACCAAAATGTCCTGGTGGTTCCTTGGGGATCGACTCTTCTAGACGTCCTGGAAGCCGCAGCCAAAGACGTACTCCAGCCTTTGAGGTCAGTGCCTTGTTCTCAGGCTTCGGGTAGCCAAGGGGAGTGTGGCAAGAGAATGGGGTGGGACGGCTGCCTTGGGACCTGCTGAGGTGGGATTCGACTGGTTCTGAGGATCAGCTGTCCTGCTTAAGGTGGGACTAGAACTCACCGTCTCCTGGTGATTGGCCCAAGGTCACCCAGCTGGCTTTCACGCCAAAGGTGGTACGAGAACTCCCTGTCTCCTGGTGATTGGCCCAGAATCACCCAGTTGGCTTTCATGTCTAAGGTGGTACTAGAACTCCCTGTTTCCTGGTGATTGTCCAAACTCACTCAGCTGGCTTTCACGCCAAAGGTGGTACTAGAACTCACCGTCTCCTGGTGATTGCCCCAAAGTCACTCAGCTGGCTTTCACGCCAAAGGTGGTACTAGAACTCTGGTTCCTGGTGATTGGCTCAGAGTCACC